GGGCGAGGGCGGGGCAAGGTGGTGGCATTGGTAAACCTCTTTTGCAGAGTATGTATACAGATTCTAAAGGGTGACCCACTTACTTTGGAGTGTCATATTTTCTTAACTGTATTTGTCTTCATTCAAACAAGCAAATTCAGACATTTGTCATTAATTATGATGCTTTAAAACTGATTACACTGATGCTTTGCTTTTTTAAAGACGGACTAGTACTGGAATGATCTCTATGAGTCGCTTATTTTATATGCCAGTGTTAAAATTAGTTACTCTGGGTTTACTTTTTCAGTTGCTGGTATACTTGGTTTTCTGTTTGCTTTACTTGGGACTCCTAAAAACGATGGACTTACACCCACTTTCTGGTGCTCAAATACTTCATGTATACTAAGAATATTTATTTTATTATTTTTTTAAATCCTCACCCGAGGACATTTTTCGATATTTTGTTCAGATAGAGTGGGAGGGAGAGAAAGAGAAAGAGAGAAACATCGACGTGAAAGGGACACATCGAGTGGTTGCCACCCACACGACCCAACCAGGGCCGGGGACAAACTGCAACCGAGGTGCATGCCCTTAGCGGGAACTGAACCCAAGTCTCTCCAGACCGCAGGCCAACGCTCTAACTGCTGAGCCAAACCGGCCAGGGCTGTACTAAGAATATTTAGCTTGACTGGTATCCCGCTGGAGGTGTTTTGGCCGTGTTTTTTTGTTTTTGTTTTTTATCCCTATCTGGTCCATAAACCAGAACTATAACAACAGAAGGTAGAAAGGCAAGAACAGACCTTTGAAAGAATTGTACCTTAATGGTTTCCTCTCTGAAGCTTGGGCTTTCTTGGGAACCAGGGGCAACCTGAGGCAGGACATGCTGATGTTACAATAAGTTGTCCTTAACTCAGGGCTCCTGTTTAGGAAAAATCTGGAGCAAGTGGCAACATTGTCTATACACTGGGATTTTTCAGAAGCCTGATTTTATTTACAGAAGGATTACTTAAACAACATGTATTTATTTATGGAGTGATTCTCTTTCTAGGAAGCTTTTCATTAAACTGCCAGACTTGGTCTTTTTGCTGGATTTAACCCATGAGCTGCCTTTTATCATGCAGAGAAGGCCACTGGTACTAAGAGCTAGAGCAGAAACATAACACAATGAAAGTACTTGTGTGGATAGAATCCTGGACAGTCCTAGAAGTAATGAGGGTGGGGGGCAGAGAGGTCCTTGTGAAGGGGGCAGGGAAAAGGACTTATTTAAAAGGTATTGATGGTGGCCACCCACTTTCAAGCCAACCTCTGACAGGACAAGTGCCAGCTGATCCTGACTATCATAGACCCTCTGGGTCTGTGTAGTGTGAGGAATGTGGCCCGAGGGTGCAGACTGCTGCTCAGGAGCCTTTGAACCCTGTGCTTTGGTCTCCTCATCTGTAAAGTGAGGGTATTCATGTTGTGTACGTTAATGGTTAGTGTGTGAGGTCAAGCATTGCAGTGAGCACTCCAGTAGCTAGTGTCTGTTGCCCAGCAGTTTCCTCTATATTCTGAGATTATTTGGATGTTTAAAGATGACTTTGGGTTGTGTGATTACAGTCGGCCCTCGTTTATCGTGGTTAATCAGTTCCAGACTCTACTGCAATAAATGAATTTCTGCGAAGTAGGATTCTTTATTTATAAATTGAATATTTTCAGTTAGAGCACAGAAAACCTGTTTAAGACCTTCTAAGTACGTTTTTTAACATTATTAGAGCCCTCTAGACATGAAATAACACCCTTTAGTCACCATTACACTCATATTACCCAGTATATTAGAGAAAATAAGACAGACGTTACAAATATATTGTTATTGTACATTTAATTGCACACACATAGTTCTTACACACAACCACTAACCTATGAAAATAGTGCAACTTGATCGATGATGAAGCAATGAAGATGAAGAGATGTACAGTACATCAAAGAAGAACAAGGTTGCGTCCGGTGCTTAGCAAAGCGTGTATGAGAGAAATGAACTTGCGTGAGGCTGAGCCAATCTGTGGCCAGGATAGGATAGCCAATTAGTGAACAGCACGCTCTGATTGGCTTGGTTTCACCACACCTGATTTTTTTGGAAAAAAAGTCATTGCCCACACACAAGGAGTGGTCGAGCGGTTGCACCTGGCTTTGAAGGATTTGTGGGGATGCTCAAATACATAGGCCCACAGTCCATACGTACTGTAATTTTAATTTTAACACGGGTTTATAATTGACTTAGACAACTGAGCGCGTGCTGTATCATTTTCACTGTCTCGATCAACTTTTTAATATATTTTTAAAAAAACGCAATAAAGCTGCAAAAGTCGAAGCGTGAAGTGGCAAGGGATGACTGTATAATCAAACAATACTGAAGTTGTAGCCCCTTGTCTACCTGTTTTACATTTAAGATATTTCAGGAAGAAGTTGGTCAGGCTTCTAGGGTTTGGAGTTACTGACCATTTTCAGCACTGATCCATGTTTTATTTTCTGAAATCTCCTTATGGCTCTCATGCGGATTCAAGTTGGGTTTTTCCCCCTTGGAACTGGACCTGGAGAATTTTACAGGCAGGGTCTTCAGCTCTGCTTTTAGATTGATCATGTTCTATTTATGTAAGTTCTAGCCTAGTTCTCTAAGGCCTAATTCTTGTACCATCTATTGGTTTGCAGAAGGCCTGCTGTGTGCTCCTTACTGTTTCAGTGACATGGGGATTGCAGCAAGGCTCAGCGTCTCTGCCCTTTAGGAAATTGATATATTCTAGTGTAGGAGAGACAGACAGTAGACAAGTAGCATATCCATGTCTGCTGGCAAAAAGTACTGAGGAAGTGAGGTGGGGGGAGGAGATTGAGAAAGCCCTGGTGAGGGTGTATAGTTAGCTGGTTTTAATAAAATGGTCAGGGAAGGCCTGACTAATCAGTGGCATTTGCCCAGAGATTGGAAGAAAGGAAGAGGGACAAGCCGTGTGGCTGTAGGGGAAGAGTAGCGCAGGCGTGAACAAAGTCCCTGTGTAGAAATACCAGTGGCCCATCCCAGGAGCTAGGAGTCAGCAGAGGAGAACAGAGTGGGGTAGGTGAGGAGGTAGAGAGATAATATGGGTGGGAGCGGGCCTTCCTGGCCAGCTTCACTTGGAATGAGATGGGGAGCCGCTGCAGGGCCTGGACATAAGGATTCCGCTTTACCTTTTAAAAGTATTGCTAGCTTTCCTGCCATTGACTTCCACTTTCAGCTCCCCTGAGAGGGCACTAAGAAACTAGCTTCACAAGCCATTGCAGAAAACTTTGTCCTCACTTATCCTAGTTCATATGTGTTTCATAATTTCCTTTGTTTTGTTTTGTTTTGTTTTGTTTTGTTTTGTTTTGTTTTCCTCACCCGAGGACATTTTTCCATCCTTTGTACAGACAGAGTGGGAAGGAGAGAGAGGAAGAGAGAGAGAGGGAAACATCGATGTGAAAGGGACACATCGAGTGGCTGCCACCCGCACAACCAACCAGGGCCGAGGACAAACTGCAACCAAGGTACATGCCCTTAGCGGGAACCGAACCCGGGTCTCTCCGGACCTCAGGCGGACGCTCTAACCGCTGAGCCAAACTGGCCAGGGCCATAATTTCCTTTTTAAATAATTGATTTTAAAGTCATTTGGAGCAGTTTAGCCTTGTCTTATTCATCCCTGACTCTGAGAGAAGGAAACGGTCCCAGGCAAAAGACTAAAGAAAATCAGCTCTTGCCCTGGCCGGTTTGGCTCAGCGGTTAGAGCATTGGCCTGCGGTCCTGAGAGACCCGGGTTCAGTTCCCGCTAGGGGCACGTACCTCGGTTGCAGTTTGTCCCCGGCCCTGGTTGGTTGTGCGGGTGGCAGCCACTCGATGTGTTCCTTTCACATCGATGTTTCTCTCTCTCTGTTCCTCTCTCTCCCTCCCACTCTACCTGAACAAAAAATGGAAAAATGTCCTCGGGTGAGGATAAAAAAAAAAAAAAAAATCAGCTCTTGATAAATTCTTTGAGAAGAGCATTCTATTACGTGCTCATTACATCAGCGGAGGTGTTGCAAAGTGTTGACCCAAAAAGATGATTTTAAGAAAAGTCTAGGTCTAGGCTTGATAAATTCTTATTTTTCCCTATCTTTTGCTGTCCTCCAAAGTGTTTCAATTCCCTCTTTCATAGTAATCACCATTAATAACTCTGTGACTAGATTGCCAAATAAAAAACTACATGAGGGTCAGAGGTGCTAGAACTTCTTGCAAACCTCCAAAAAGAATATTCGAGAAGAGTCACTGCTATTTGGCTTATGCATCCCTTTGTACCTGGGCATTGATGGCTGGTTGAGAGGGGATACGGTTATGTGTCAAGAAGAGGTTAACTCTTAAGTTTGTGTGGCTGACTGCAGTAAGGAATCCCTGTGATGGTAAGACTTGAGTGTCCCCAGTCATCACAAGTGGTTGGGTGGTAATCAAAGTAAACCTGCAGTATCATGCGTTCGGCTACAGGGACTGACTTCCGTCCTCAGGCCAGTCTGTTTCTCACATTCAGGGAGGGGCAGCCTGTGAAGTGACTGCGTTCTTATTATTTAAGATGCTTAGTTCAGTCTCATAATGCGAAAGCAAATAAATGCAAGTGTTTTTCTCATCCCTCCCCCACCATAACTGGAAAATACTTAAAAATTGCTGTTTCTTTATTGAGAGTAATAATATAGTCCTATATTTTTACCCAATTGGATTGGAGGGGTGGGGCTCATTTATCTAATAATGAGGTTTTTACTGCGTTGAACTTGTTTTTACCCAGACTGGTTTTTTTCATAACTACCATAGACTCCTGCCTCATTCTTTAGGCCATTTCTCTACATATTTTCATCTTCAGAAATGGATAGGATAAGAAATAAAAGGAGATGAAATTCAAACAAGTCAGTTTCATCTGGACAGCTGAATTATGTATCCCCTCCATCATCAGACTTGATTTTATTTACACTGGGAGGGCGCATGTCTCACTCTCTTTTTTCTCTTCCATTTTCAGGAGGGCTGTTGGCCCGCCGCTGTGCTGCTGAACAGTATGCAGTCCTTTCGGGAGCAAAGCAGTTACCACGGAAACCAGCAGAGCTACCCACAGGAGGTACACAGCTCATCCCGGCTAGAAGAGTTCAGCCCTCGCCAGGCCCAGATGTTCCAGAATTTTGGGGGTGCAGGTGGCAGTAGTGGTGGCACTGGCAGCAGCAGTGGTGGCGGGCGGCGAGGGACAGCAGCGGCGACAGCGGCGATGGCTAGTGAGACCTCTGGCCATCAAGGCTACCAGGGTTTCAGAAAAGAGGCTGGAGACTTCTACTACATGGCAGGCAACAAAGACCCCGTGGCGACAGGTACCCCCCAGCCTCCTCAGCGAAGGCCTTCTGGGCCTGTGCAGAGCTATGGACCCCCCCAGGGGAGCAGCTTTGGCAATCAGTATGGGAGTGAGGGTCATGTGGGCCAGTTTCAAGCACAGCATTCTGGCCTTGGTGGTGTGTCTCATTATCAGCAGGACTACACGGGGCCTTTCTCTCCAGGGAGTGCTCAGTACCAGCAGCAGGCATCTAGCCAGCAGCAGCAGCAGCAAGTCCAGCAGCTGAGACAACAGCTTTACCAATCCCATCAGCCTCTGCCACAAGCCACTGGCCAGCCAGCGTCAGGCTCATCCCATCTGCAGCCGATGCAGAGACCCTCAACTCTGCCATCCTCTGCCACTGGTTACCAGTTACGAGTGGGTCAGTTCGGCCAGCACTACCAGTCTTCTGCTGCCTCCTCCTCCTCCTCCTCCTTCCCATCACCACAGCGTTTCAGCCAGTCTGGGCAGAGCTATGATGGCAGTTACAGTGTGAATGCTGGATCCCAGTATGAAGGGCATAATGTGGGTTCTAACGCACAGGCTTATGGAACGCAATCAAATTACAGCTATCAGCCTCAATCTATGAAAAATTTTGAACAAGCAAAGATTCCACAAGGGACCCAGCAGGGGCAGCAGCAGCAGCAGCAGCAGCCTCAGCAGCAGCCGCAGCAGCAGCCACAGCAGCAGCACGCCCCACAGCATGTGATGCAGTATACCAACGCTGCCACCAAGCTGCCCCTGCAGAGCCAGGTGGGGCAGTACAACCAGCCCGAGGTTCCTGTGCGGTCCCCCATGCAGTTTCACCAGAACTTCAGCCCCATTTCTAACCCTTCCCCAGCCGCCTCTGTGGTTCAGTCTCCAAGCTGTAGCTCTACCCCATCTCCTCTTATGCAGAGTGGGGAGACTCTCCAGTGTGGGCAAGGCAGTGTGCCCATGGGTTCCAGAAACAGAATCTTACAGTTAATGCCTCAGCTCAGCCCAACCCCATCGATGATGCCCAGTCCTAATTCTCATGCTGCCGGCTTCAAAGGGTTTGGACTAGAAGGAGTGCCAGAAAAGCGACTGACGGACCCTGGGTTGAGTAGTTTGAGTGCCCTGAGTACTCAAGTGGCCAATCTTCCTAATACTGTTCAGCACATGCTACTTTCTGATGCCCTGACGCCTCAGAAGAAGACCTCTAAGAGGCCCTCCTCCTCTTCTAAGAAAGCAGACAGCTGCACAAACTCGGAAGGCTCCTCCCAGCCTGAAGAACAGCTGAAGTCCCCTATGGCAGAGTCGCTGGATGGAGGCTGCTCCAGCAGTTCTGAGGATCAAGGTGAGAGAGTGAGGCAGCTGAGTGGCCAGAGCACCAGCTCCGATACTACCTACAAGGGTGGAGCCTCAGAGAAAGCCAGCTCCTCCCCAGCACAAGGCGCTCAGAACGAAGCCCCCAGACTCAGTGCCAGTCCTGCAGCCAGAGAAGAGGCAGCCTCACCAGGTGCTAAGGACACGCCATCGTCATCCGAGGGTAACCCAAAAGTCAATGAGAAGACCGTTGGAGTGATTGTCTCCCGGGAAGCCATGACGACTCGGGCAGAAAAGCCTGGTGGACAAGATAAAGGCTCCCAAGAGGATGATCCCACAGCCACACAAAGGCCACCCAGCACTGGCGGGGCCAAGGAAACCAGTCATGCATCACTTCCACAGCCAGAGCCTCCGGGAGGAGGGGGCAAAGGAAACAAGAGTGGAGATAACTCCAGCCACAATGGAGAGGGCAATGGCCAGAGCGGCCACCCTGCAGTCGGCCCTGGTTTCATAGGCAGAACTGAGCCTAGCAAGTCTCCCGGAAGCCTGCGCTATAGTTATAAAGACAGCTTTGGGTCGGCCATGCCAAGAAGTGTCGGTGGCTTTCCTCAGTATCCTACAGGACAAGATAAAGGGGATTTCACTGGCCATGGGGAGCGAAAGGGTAGAAATGAGAAGTTCCCCAGCCTCTTGCAGGAGGTGCTTCAGGGTTACCACCACCACCCTGATAGGAGATACTCTAGGAGTACTCAGGAGCATCAGGGCATGGCTGGTGGCCTAGAAGGAACCACAAGGCCTAATGTCTTAATTAGTCAAACCAATGAATTAGCTAGCAGGGGCCTTTTGAACAAAAGCATTGGGTCTCTATTAGAAAACCCCCACTGGGGCCCCTGGGAGAGAAAATCAGGCAGCACAGCTCCAGAAATGAAACAGATCAATTTGGCTGACTATCCAATTCCCAGAAAGTTTGAAATAGAGCCTCAGTCATCAGCCCATGAGCCCGGGGGTTCCCTCTCTGAAAGAAGATCAGTGATCTGTGACATTTCTCCACTAAGACAGATTGTCAGGGACCCAGGGGCTCACTCGCTGGGACACATGGGTGCCGATACCAGACTTGGGAGGAATGAACGTCTCAACCCAAGTTTAAGTCAGTCGGTCATTCTTCCAGGTGGTTTGGTGTCCATGGAAACAAAGCTGAAATCCCAGAGTGGGCAGATAAAAGAGGAAGACTTTGAACAATCCAAATCCCAAGCTAGTTTCAACAACAAGAAATCTGGAGATCACTGCCATCCTGCCAGCATCAAGCATGAGTCTTACCGAGGCAATGCCAGCCCTGGAGCCGCTGCCCATGACTCCATCTCAGACTATGGCCCACAAGACAGCAGACCCACGCCCATGCGGCGGGTCCCTGGCAGAGTGGGTGGTCGGGAGGGCATGAGGGGTCGGTCCCCTTCTCAGTATCATGACTTTTCAGAAAAATTGAAGATGTCTCCTGGGAGGAGCAGGGGCCCAGGCGGAGACCCTCATCACATGAACCCACACATGACCTTTTCAGAGAGGGCCAACAGGAGTTCATTACATGCTCCCTTTTCTCCCAACTCAGAAAGCCTGGCCTCTGCATATCACACAAATACGCGGGCTCATGCTTATGGGGACCCCAATGCAGGTTTGAATTCTCAGCTCCATTACAAGAGACAGATGTACCAACAGCAACAAGAGGAATATAAAGACTGGAGCAGTAGCTCTGCTCAGGGCGTGATCGCCGCAGCCCAGCATAGGCAGGAGGGGGCCCGGAAGAGCCCAAGGCAGCAGCAGTTCCTGGACAGAGTGCGGAGCCCTCTGAAAAATGACAAAGATGGGATGATGTATGGCCCACCGATGGGGACCTACCATGACCCCAGTGGTCAGGAAGGTGGGCGTTGCCTCATGTCTGGTGACAGTCTGACTAACAAAGGCATCGAATTGAAGCACGGCTCCCAGAAGTTACAACAAGAATCTTGTTGGGATCTTTCTCGGCAGACTTCTCCAGCCAAAAGTGGCTGCCCTCCAGGAATGTCCAGTCAAAAAAGATATGGACCGCCCCACGAGACCGACGGCCATGGACTGACTGAGTCTGCACAGCCATCCAAACCTGGCAATGTCATGCTGAGACTTCCAGGTCAAGAGGATCATTCTTCTCAAAACCCCCTGATCATGAGGAGGCGCGTCCGTTCTTTTATTTCTCCCATTCCCAGTAAGAGACAGTCACAAGACGCGAAGAACAGTAACACTGAAGATAAAGGACGCCTCCTTCACCCATCAAAAGAAGGTGCTGATAAAGCGTTCAATTCCTATGCCCATCTTTCTCACAGTCAGGACTTCAAGTCCATCCCTAAGAGGGAATCTGCCAAGGACCTTCCAAGTTCAGACAGTAGAAACTGCCCTGCTGTTACCCTCACAAGTCCTGCTAAGACCAAAATACTGCCCCCACGCAAAGGACGGGGACTGAAGTTGGAAGCTATCGTTCAGAAGATCACATCCCCAAATATTAGGAGGAGTGCATCCTCGAACAGTGCGGAGGCTGGGGGAGACACTGTCACTCTGGATGACATACTGTCTTTGAAGAGTGGTCCTCCCGAAGGTGGGAGTGTTGCTGCTCAGGAAGCTGAGCTGGAGAAGAGAAAAGGTGAGGTGGTGTCTGACCTAGCCTGTCCAACAAACCAGGAGCTGAACGTAGAAAAGCCTCTTGCAAGGTCTTCAGAGGAGTGGCGTGGCAGTGGGGATGACAAAGTGAAGGCTGAGACACACCCAGACACTGTCACTGCTGGAAAGGAACCCCCTGGTGCCATGACATCCGCAACCTCACAGAAACCTGGGAGTAACCAAGGGAGACCAGATGGTTCCCTGGGCGGGGCAGCACCTTTAATCTTTCCTGACTCAAAGAATGTACCTGCAGCGGGCGGACTGGCTCCTGAGGCAAACCCGAAGGCTGAAGAGAAAGAGACCGATACAGTGACGATTTCCCCCAAACAAGAGGGTTTCCCCCCAAAGGGATATTTCCCTTCCGGAAAGAAGAAGGGGAGACCCATTGGTAGTGTGAATAAGCAAAAGAAACAGCAGCAGCCACCACCTCCACCCCCCCAACCTCCCCAGATACCAGAAGGTTCTGCAGATGGAGAACCAAAGCCAAAAAAGCAGAGGCAAAGGAGAGAGAGGAGGAAGCCTGGGGCGCAGCCAAGGAAGCGTAAAACCAAACAAGCAGTTCCCATTGTAGAACCCCAAGAACCTGAGATCAAACTCAAGTATGCCACCCAGCCACTGGATAAAAGTGATGCCAAGAACAAGTCTTTTTTCCCTTATATTCATGTAGTGAATAAGTGTGAACTTGGAGCCGTTTGTACAATCATCAATGCTGAAGAAGAAGAGCAGACCAAATTGGTGAGGGGTCGGAAGGGGCAGAGGTCTCTGACCCCACCACCCAGCAGCACTGAGAGCAAGGCGCTCCCAGCCTCGTCCTTTATGCTGCAGGGACCTGTGGTAACGGAGTCTTCTGTTATGGGGCACCTGGTTTGCTGTCTGTGCGGCAAGTGGGCCAGTTACCGGAACATGGGTGACCTCTTTGGACCCTTTTATCCCCAAGATTATGCAGCCACTCTCCCGAAAAACCCACCTCCTAAGCGGGCCACGGAAATGCAGAGCAAAGTTAAGGTACGGCACAAAAGCGCTTCCAACGGCTCCAAGACGGACACTGAGGAGGAGGAGGAGCAGCAGCAGCAGAAGGAGCAGAGGAGCCTGGCCGCTCACCCCAGGTTTAAGCGGCGACACCGCTCAGAAGACTGTGGTGGAGGCCCTCGGTCCCTGGCCCGGGGACTCCCCTGTAAAAAAGCAACCACGGAGGGCAGCAGCGAAAAGACTGTTTTGGACTCAAAACCCTCTGTGCCCACCACTTCAGAAGGTGTCCCTGAGCTGGAGTTACAAATCCCTGAACTACCTCTTGACAGCAATGAATTTTGGGTCCATGAGGGTTGTATTCTCTGGGCCAATGGAATCTACCTGGTCTGTGGCAGGCTCTATGGCCTGCAGGAAGCGCTGGAAATAGCCAGAGAGATGGTGAGTATGAGACATCCTTACCAGCTTGCTCTATTTCTTCTGTTTGGTTGTTTCTTCCACCTTTACCTGTTTCATCCTTGCTGTTGTATTCTTAATATCATGTGGTAATTCCTCCAGATTAAAGTCCCTAGGCCCAAATGATGAGCAGAAATTGAAGTAAATTGGAAAATGTGGTTAACTTTTAAGTTTATCATTAATAGGTGTCTATAGGTTACAAAGTCATTCTAGTGCGATACAGCTAGTCCTTCCACCCCTCCTCAGACCAGATTTCTGATTCATTCCTCTTCCAGTCTCCTGTTTCTAAACAATAAGCTTTTACTGATATTTATGTATTTATTGATCCCATTTTCCTATTTTTCAACATCTGACTAATACTTATTGTGGTTATAGTTTCTTTTTTCTAAAACTCATTTCTCTAAAATTATTAATTCATGTTATTATTTGGTTTTGTTTTTTTTTGTTGTTGTTTTTTACCACATCTCTCTAATTCAGACTTTGTAGTTGGAATGTGTAATCTTTCGATCTGTTTCATAACTGTTATACTGGAGCATTTGTCACCATTAACAGTACTTCTTCCCCCTAACGAATGTTCTTTCCTGAATCCCGTGTTTTTGCATTTCTTAGTCTTGACTCTCACTTAATGTCGTGTTAGCAGTTTCCTGAGAAAGGGTGTATGGGAGGTACATACATTGAGATTTTGTCTACTGAAAATGTCTTTATTCAGTCATGTTTAATTGAAGATTGATTAGGCATAGAAGTCTAGATTTGAAAGTTTTTTCTCACTATCTTGGCATCTTGACTCCTGGTTTATCCTGTAGCTTCTAGGGTTGCAGTTGAGAGTACTAGAGTTCTGATTTACAGTGGTCATATGTGTGTTCTGTCTTCTCCCCAGGAAGGTTTGAGAATCTTCTCGTGTTCCCTCAGGGTCTGACATCGCAGAATGATAGGCCTTGAGGTTGGTCTTTTTTAGAAGTCATTGTGCTGGCTGCTCCGGAAGATTCTGCCACTGTTAACTCATGCCTTTCAGTTCGGAAAGCTTGTCATATGTTATTTCTTGGATACTTTCTTTCCCTCTGTTTTCTCTCTTTCTGGAATTCCTGTTAATTAGGGGTATTGTACCTCCTGGGTTGATCCTCTGGCTTTATCTTTTCTCTCCTCTTCTGAGTTCTCCCTGCTTTTTTGTTCTAATTACATGCTTTTTTCAACTTTAACCTTTATCTTAATTTCTGATATCTTAAAGAGCTTTCTCTTCTCTGAATATCCCTCGGAGGAGATTTAACCGGTTGAAATGGGCTGAGTTAGGGACCTAACTCCTCTTACAAACTCACAAACTCAGAGTTAATGCTCTGGTTTCCAGACCCATTTTGCACTGCCTACTTTCTGAGACTGACTTCCCAGGTTCTGTGCCACAAGGGGCTGGCTTTCTAATGGCTCCTTCACTCCACTTTTTCCTCTCTGTTCCTTTTCTGTCTGCTGAATCACTTACTCTTTGTCTGTTCTATTTCTAGCTTGCAGAATTTGGACATCTCTTGTGTGTTTTGTTTCCTCTCCCATTCTTCATGTCCTCATGAATTTGTCTTATAAGTTATCTCTTTATCTTTGTGGGAAGGAAACAGCTGTGTAAATAGATGGTTTGGTCTGTGATATTTATTCATATGAGAGTTTTTTGTATTAATTTATATTTAAAATTAATAGTTGACAATTATACAAATGATTTTCAGTCATTGTTAATAAGGCTTTTCCCAGCCAGAATCATAGTATTGGACACTTTTTACTATTCTCTTCCACTCCCCATACAGTTCCCCAAAATCACCATATTTGATCATTGCGTTATCCCCAGAATTTATAATAGTGTCTGATAAAAAAGGAGGTATTCATAAACTATAGTTAAAATGTAATCAAAGTGAAATTTATATGTATGTATGTGTTTTAAATTAGAACATTGTAACTGTCACACATGGGACTTGGCTTTCCCACACGGTCTTTCCTGTTTCCTTCCGTCTCCATCATCATTGTCACTCCCAAACCCCAAGTTTGAAATAGATTTACTTCTTAGACTCAGTGACATTTTAGATGCAAAAGTCCTATAGGGATACAACATTTAAGACCCTAAAGTACAAAATTCTTCAAAATAGTCCATTCTAAGCACTCAGTAATCCATTAATCATCATTTTGTCCCAGTTCATGACCTGTTTCCTCTAGAAAGTTCAAATATTTAGTGGGTTAGTTTGTTTTGTTTGTTACTTTTTGGTGTCACTGTCCAACTACCAGTGTTGCCTTTATTTCAACATAGATTATTATTAACACCTCTCAGTAATTTTTATGTGTAAACTTTTGAACATTCTATAGTAATAATTGGTAACCAGTAATCAGAAGGCTAAATTCTACCTAGCAAAGGTAGAATTGGTGAACAGTGGGACTGCATTTAAAATTCCTAATTAGGAATCTGTCTTCAGAAAGTGACAATTCAGTCTATTACTTGTCAGCTTTGATCACAAAATAAAATCTGGAATGTAACCATTTTAACATACCAATGAATATGATAAATCAGTCTTTCTCTAACCCAACCCCCACAACTTGCATTGACTAACTGGTTAAAATAACATGAAGCTTTTTGGGTACAGAACAACGAAAGTCATTTTATGTTTTTTAAAATATTGCAGTCTCAACTGTTTCATAAGTGCTTCAAATCAGTCATGTGTTCTACGGGATAGAAAGTTGAAATGCTGCCTGGCGGGTGTGCTCAGTGGACTGAGTGTCATCCCACGGACTGAGAGGTCCCAGTTCGATTCCTGGTCAGGGCATATGCCCGGGTTGCAGGCTTGATCCTTGGTGGGGCGTGCAGGGGGCAGCCATTGACGTATCTTTCTCACATTGATGTTTCTATCTTTCCCTTCCTCGCTCTCTAAAAAAAAGGTTGGAATGCTTTATTTTTAAAGATAAAAGGTATAAAAATGAGTATTTTTGTCCCTACATTTCTATATAATAGACTCTCTAAACCTAGATTTTTGCGTTTTCTGACAGCTCCATCAGGGCTGTGGTTCTACCATCTCCTTTAATGACGAGTTTCACAACACAAATAGTTGACCAGTCCTTTATTTTAAAATTGATATAATTGATGTGTAACATTATATTAGTTTCATGACCAATCTTAAATCTCATACTACCGCTTTAAGCTTATTTCATTATATTATGTTGTACCCACTCACTTTGCCAGTGCCCTTTAAAATTATTAGGTTTCTCTTTCCTCAAGTCTATTCTATTTATTTTACATCCCTCTTAGAATAGCATGCTAGCTTTGTATGTTGAATTTGATTTTTCAAAAGACTAGCACATGTGCTTTATTCTCACAAGCCACCCAGTAAGATAGGAATGAAGAACATACCATCCCATTACCCTTAGAATAAAGGGCGACTCAACTTTAGTGACACACACTCAGGCCTAGTGATGTGTTGATTTTATTTTATTTGTTTTAATACTTTTTTTTTTTTAATCCTCACCCAAGGATATTTTTCCATTTATTTTCAGACAGAGTGGGAGGGAGAGAGAAAGAAACATCCATGTGAGAGAAACACATCATTGGTTGCCTCCCACATGACCCCGACCAGGGCCAGGGACCAAACTGCAACCAAGGTACATGCCCTTGACCGGGGTTTGGTTCCCGCTAAGGGCACGTACCTCGGTTGCAGTTTGTCCCCGGCCCTGGTCGGTTGTGCGGGTGGCAGCTACTCGATGTGTCCCTTTCACATCACATCAATGTTTCTCTCTCTCTCTCTGTTCCTCTCTCCCCCCCCCCCACCTGAACAAAAAATGGAAAAATGTCCTCGGGTGAGGATAAAAAAAAAAAAAGTTACGCTTCTTGGCTCGCAGAGCTGATGTCCCACTATGACTACAAGATCCTTTTCTGTTTTGCCTAGTTTTTATTCTCCTTTTGTTAATTGTACTTGAGAACAAATTAAAAGTACAGTGATTTGCCTTTTATTTAATTTGATTGATAATATTTCAGTTTTTTCAAGGTCATTTGAGTCTAGTTTTATCTTAGGTTTTAGCAAATGCATTCAATTTTATTTTATTTTATTTATTTTTATTTTTTTATCCTCACCCGAGGACATTTTTCCATTTTTTGTTCAGATAGAGTGGGAGGGAGAGAGAGGAAGAGAGAGAGAGAGAAACATCGACGTGAAAGGGACACATCGAGTGGCTGCCACCCGCACGACCAACCAAGGCCGGGGACAAACTGCAACCAAGGTACGTGCCCTTAGCGGGAACCCAACCTGGGTCTCTCTGTACCGCAGGCCGACGCTCCAACCACTGAGCCAAACCGGCCAGGGCTGCATTCAATTTTAATCTGCTTAATAATCATGCTCTCAATCCTATCATGTTGAGATAAGGTCACATATATTTTATTAGAGATCCATTTTGGCCTATGTATTTATCAGGTGTTTTGACAAGCATGATATAACAAAATAATATGGAGTCCTCAAGAGACAGTAGCTCCTCTCCCTGAGAGTGTAACACTATTCTGAAAATTGCTGAAAACTAGAACATTCTTGTACAGATGGCCTTCACTCGCCTTCCTTTTCTGAGTGTTGGACTTAGTGCATTCATTTCTGCGCAGACCTCTTTGGTTTTGTCTAACTTGACCTCTGCTCACTTACCTTGGTGTAATTGTATATGTGAATCCACAGTGACCTCTGGCATGGCTGGTGTGACAGAGTTAATTGCTTCTAAAAGGCATACACATGCCTTGGTATGTAAAAATCACCTTTGATACATTTAGGAACGCGAAGGCCTTGAGGGTTGTGGCAGCAGACGGACCTGGTGATGGTGGGTCTCTGGTGTGTGCCTTGCCAGCACAGCCCAGCTTTGCCCTGCTGGGGCGTGGCGAGCAGCCTGCACTTGTTCCGGTCCCTCCTAACCCAGACTGGCAGCACCCCTTCCAAATGGGGGGTTTTTCATCTTTTTTTTACCCCACAGTATATGTTAAAGAACTGGTTTTA